CCCTCCCCTCCCTCTCTCTCTCTCTCTCTCTCTCTCTCTCTCTCTCTCTCTCTCTCTCTCTCTCTCTCTCTCTCTGTTTCTGCTACTGTTTTATTTTGTTTCAGTAGCTGATTTAAGCACAAGTATTGAAGATGGGAACGATGCATCAGTTATTTGATAATGTTTTCATATGGGCTTAAAGATGATTTTAGAGCTGGCCCTGTATAGGAGTTCAACATATTTTATGCTGTTTTTTTTTATCTAAATATCAGTAGCTGTTGTTGAGATGTATAGTTTGATATTGGAGTTTATGCATATTCCTTTGAAAATGTAATCGGTGATATACAAAGTGGCTGAATGAAGATTGATGAATAAAAATGATCGTGAGCATTACATGGTGTGTTAAGATCAGCAGCAAATATTTAGCTCAGAATAGATGATGTAACTGAATATGAGGAAGAGTAAACCTGGAATTGGCTTGACCAGTATGTGTGAGGAGAGCATGTGATTCTTGGGTGACTTATTAGCTTATTGGTCTACTGAGGAAACATGTGTATGAAATAGTGATTTATGGTATCTGTCCATTAAAATGCTGTACTTATTTTTTTTAAGTGTATTGCTAGGTGATCAGTAAGGAATGAACAGCATAAAGTGCTTAATGCCAAACAAGAGAAATAGTTTTGTTGCTAATAGTATAAACATTTATGGAATTTTGAATATATCTTAAATTAATGAAAATAGCTGATATTAGTGCTACTGCAAATGTGTTTCAGAGTCTCTGTTTTTTTTCTCTTTTTTCTTTTTTCTTTTTCTTTTTCTTTTTAGCAAGAAATGGGCAACCTGTTCTTGCAAAACACTGGTGGAAGTGGTATGGGAACTGTTCAAAGATAACACTTGACATTTGTGATAGTGGTACCATTTATTTGAATTATTATCAGGTGGTACTTTTTCTGACATAAACCATATAATTGAATATTTCTGTAAGGTATATAATTTTACATTTGTAACATTTCTAGTTATAGTCCACTAAAGTCAGAATGAAGCATTCTGGGCAAAATTTCATCTTAACTCCATGTTAGAAAAGTGGTAAAATGAAAGAATTATCAATATTTTACAGTATTAAAGTGATATCTTAGATGATATTGGCCATAACTACAATCATAATCTAAAGTTCAGTATTGAGTGATTATCATCATGTACAGATACATTACCATGAACAAAATAAGAACTAGGTACAAGCCCCATGGAAGTCAAGTAAACAAAGGGCAGAGGCATCCTAACAAAACTGGCAAACTCAAATACTGGAAGCCAGGCCATAAGACCCCAGTATCACTATTTGAGTATTAGATTGGGGGGCTAGTTTCTGAACGACCATTCAGCACTTTTGATGCAAACAGCACCATATGCCACTATTGGTAATAAGACCAAAAAAATAGTGGTAGTACCATTTGTGGACCAGTTACCATTACTATCACTCCTGCCAAACTCTGCTTTTAATATTTAGGTAACTATTGGTACACTAAGTAAGAGGGAACAATTATTAATTCTAAATGCCATTTCTGTCAAAAGTTTGAAGCAGTTTGAATAGTATGTATTCAGTAAATTTATTATTATTATTATTATTATTATTATTATTATTATTATTAGTAGTAGTAGTAGTAGTAGTAGTAGTAGTAGTAGTAGTAGTAGTAGTAGTAATATCACTGATCTTGTTTAACTTATTATTATGATTATTATTGTTATGATTACAATTGTTATTATCATTATTATCATTAATATCATTATTATCATTTTCATTATTATTATTATTATTATTATTATTATTATTTTTATTATTATTATTATTATTATTATTATTATTATTATTATTATTATTATTATTATTATTATTATTATTATTATTATTATTATTATTATTGTTATTGTTATTGTTATTGTTATTGTTATTGTTATTGTTATTATTATTGTTATTTTTATTATTGTTATTATTATTATTATTATTATTATTATTATTATTATTATTATTATTATTATTATTATTATTATTATTATTATCCTCATCATCATTATCATTATTATCATTATTATCATTATTATCATTATTATCATTATCACTATTATCATATCATCATTATTATCGTATTATCATATCATTATCATTATTATATAATAGTAATACTTATTATTATTGTCATTGTTATTGTTATTGTAAATTATTGTTAATATTATTATTATTATTATTATTATTATTAATAATGATAATAATGATAATAATAGTAATAATAGTAATAATAGTAATAATAATAATAATAATAATAATAATAATAATAATAGTAATAATAATAATAATAATAATAATAATAATAATAATAATAATAATAATAATTATTATTATTATTATTATAGCTGTAATTATAATTGTAAGGATGATTTTGATTATAATGATTTTGATTATGATTATAATAACAATAACAATAAGATTAAATATTAACATGATAATTATAATGATTATAAAAATGAAAATAATTGTTATTGTTATTGTTATTGTTATTATTATTGTTGTTATTATTATTATTATTGTTATTATTATTATTATTGTAATTAAAATTATAGTTATAATAATGATGATAATGATAATGATAATAATTATTATTGTAATTGTAATTATAGTTATTATTAAAACAATGATAATAATAATGATAATAATAATAATAATAATAATAATAATAATAATAATAATAATAATAATAATAATAATAATAATAATAATAATAATAATAATAATAATAATAATGATAATGATAAAAATGATAATAATGATGATT